CTTTTTTTCTTTTTGCTTATGTGGTGCTGAGGAATTGAACCCAGGGCCTCAGGCATGCAAGGCAAGCGCTCTACCACTGAGCCACCTTCCCAGCCCAGTGCACTTTCTTTCTACATGGGGCAACTTCCCCAATATCTCAACATGGACAATGTCTTCTCATAATATTTTTTATTAGCATGCATTACTTGTACACGGAGGTTTCATTGTGACATTTCCATAACTCATACAGTGTATCCTAATTAAACTCACCTATTATCCCCTTAAAACAATTTTAACAAAGCCAGGCGCCGGTGGCTCACGCCTGTAATCCTAGCTACTCAGGAGGCTGAGATCTGAGAATCTCGATTCAAAGCCAGCCCAGGCAGGAAAGTCCGTGAGACTATTATCTCCAAGAAACTACTAGAAAACCGGAAGTGATGAGCTGAAGAGCGTAGAGACAGAGCACTCAGGCTCAGAGTTCAAGCCCCATGGGCCGACCAAAAAAAACAACAAAACAGTTTTAACAGGTTCTATTTTTCTTCCTTCCTTCCTTCCTTTCTTTCTTCCTTTGCTTTTTTCTTTGTCTTTCTGTATTTCTTTCTTTGTCTTCCTTCCTTTCTTTCTTTCTTTTTTTGTTGGTTAAGGGGCTTGAACTCTGGGACCACGTGTTGTCCCTCAGCTCTTCAGCTCAAGGCGAGCGCTCTACCACTTGAGCCACAGCACCACTTCCAGTTTTTCTGCTCATGTGGTGCTGAGAAATAGAATCCAGGGTCTCAAGTATGCAAGGCAAGCACTCTACCACTGAGCCACCTTCCCAGCCCTGCAATCAGATTTAATCAGCAATTTACATGATGAAAAGTAAACCTTAGCCAGACACAGGTGATTCACGCTTGTAATCCTAGCTACTCAGGAGATTGGGATCTGAGGATCATGGTTCAAAGCCTACCCTGGCAGGAAAGTCTGTGAAACTCTTATCTCCAATGCACCACCAGAAAACTGGAAGTGATGCTGTGGCTCAAGTGGTAGAGCACTGTCTTGAGCTGAAGAACTGAGGGACAGCACTCAGGCCCAAAGTTCTTTTATGGTTTTAGAGTTTTTATTGAGATATTAGCAATTATTTTAATGGGCTTGCCTTTGTAGGAACCATGTCTCTTCTTTTGTGCACTTGCAATATTTTTTCTTCTGTAAAGTTACTGTTTTGACTTCAATGCGTCTAGGGGTATTTCCTCTCTGGTTTTGCCTATTTGCTCTTCTGTAAGACTTTTCCTCATGGATGGCCCCATTTTTCTCAAGATTAGTGACATTTTCTGCTATTTTATTGAGTGGATTCTCAACATCTTTAGTTTTTATTTCTTCTTTCTTGTCTACACCATGATTTGATCTCTTGATGGAATCTGAAAGATAGTGGTAGGAAGGTTGTGAGTTTGAGTTAACCTAGCCAAAGTTAGCAAGACCCTATAAGAGAAAGAAAACAAAACCAAAGGTCTAGGAATGTGTCTTTAAGTGGTAAAATGTTTGCCTAGTATGCAGGAAGCCTGGGATCTATCTTCAGTACATGAACAATGCAAAGAAACACCAATGTTTAGACACCAAAATGAGCAACCACTGATGAGCTGTATTTGCTGTCATAGCTTTCTATTGCTAATCACACAATCCCACAGACTGGGCTTGGTATATAAAGGTGTTTATTTTGGTTCATGTTTCTAAAGGACCAAGCTAGAAGGTATGCATCTGTCAACAGGCTTTCTGATGGCAGAATCTTGAGGTAGTGCAAGGTATCCTGTGGTGAGAGATAGAAAGAAAGTCATCTGGTCAAATTGGTCTCTACAAGTTCTAAAGCTTTCTAAGCTGTTAACTTAATATCCCATTTATCCATTAATCGCATGAGTGGCTTAATCCACTTTTGAAGGCAGAGACCTAATCACCTCTGAAATGTGTCACAAGGTCTCATCTCTTAATACCTCTTAATGCGGACTCTACTTCCAGACAACTTCCATAGAGAATGAAGTATGTTTAAACCATTGCAGTTTTTTTTTTTTTGTCTGCTGTGGGGCCTGAACTCTGGGCCTGGGTGCTGTCCTTCAGCTCTTCAGCTCAAGGCTAGCACTGTACCACTTGAGCCACAGCGCCACTTCCAACTTTTTCTGCTTATGTGGTGCTGAGGAATGGAACTCAGGGCTTCATGCATGCAAGGCAAGCACTCTACCACTGAGCCACCTCCCCAGCTCCTGCAATTTGTGTGTGTGTGTGTGTGTGTGTGTTGTGTATGATGGTACTGGTTTTGAATTCAGGACCATGCACTTCCTAAGCAAGCACTATGACTGTGACACCACATCTCCAGCCCTGATTTCTACCTATTGAATAACTTTCCAAAAAGGCTATGTTGTTCCCAGAATAAGAGAAGATGAAACATCTTTGGAAGTTTCTTTAAAGTGTATCCTTAACTGTCTGTCTGTATTGAACTTAAAGTGTCCGGTATGACTCTCTATGGAATGCAGATTTTTTTTTATTGTAAAGATACTATACAGAGGGTTACAGTTACATGAGTGAAGTAATGAGTACACTTCCTCTTGAACATTGTTACCCCCTCCATTGTTTTCCCCCTACCATCCCCTCCCTCCCTCCCTTCCCGAGGTTCTTTTTTTTTTTGATTGTGATTAAGTGATTATACATAATTTCTGGAATTTCACAGTATTGCGGAATAATGACTCTCATTTAAAGTCACAAGTTCATTCTAACTTTCCTGGAGCAAATTGTTTATCACAGTCTGTAACATATAACGGTGTTCACATGTTATATACCATATATGTGATCAGTAGCATGGGGATATTTAGTAGTGGTTCAACCAGATGAGTGGGTGGAATGCAGATTTAAAGTTTTGTACATTGCAAAGAAACCCCCAAGTCATTTTTTTTTTTTTGGTCGGTGGTGGGGCTTGAGCTCTGTCCCTGCGGTCTTCAGCTCAAGGCGAGAGCTCTACCGCTTGAGCCATAGCACCATTGAGCCATAGCACCATTTCTGGCTTTCTTGTGGTTTATTGGAGATAAGAGTCTCACCGGTGGGGGGGATGGGGGAGGCTGGGAAGGGATGTGAAGGGTAAACCAAAGGAGGAGGCTGCAATGCTTGGTAAGAAATGTACGCATTATCCTGCCCATGTAATTGTAACCCCTCTGTACAGTATGTTCACAAATTAAAAAAAAAAAAAGAGTCTCACTGGGGCTTGGAAGGTGGCTCAGTGGTAGAGCGCTTGCCTTGCATGCATGAGGCCTGGGGCCTTGCATGCTTGAAGCCCTGGGTTCGATTCCTCAGTACCACATAAGAAAAAAGCCGGAAGTGGCGCTGTGGCTCAAGTGGTAGAGCGCTAGCCTTGAGCTGAAGAGCTGAGGGACAGCGTCTAGGCCCAGAGTTCAGGCCCCACGACCTGACCCCCCCCAAAAAAAAAAAAAGACTCACGGACTTTCCTGCCCAAGGCTGGCTTTGAGCTGGCTTTGAACCATGATCCTCAGATCTCAGCCTCCAGTGTAGCTAGGATCACAGGAGTGAGGCACCGGCGCCTGGCTTCCTAAAGATTTTTAGCCTAGCTGTTACCTACTCAGCGATCCTCTTGGGTTGTTTTGACAGCAAAGTGTTAAGTAGTCATCAGGGACACATGGGCAGGAGAAAAAGGGTGAACTTTAAAAAAAAAGCATTTGCTGAAAGGTCCATGTTTCTAATCAGACTTTAAACGGGACACCAGGTCTTTACGCTGACACTTCAGTCTTAGTGTAAACAGGAGGGGAGGTGGACGCGTGAGACCTATATAGCCTGGCTTCGCCAGCCGCAGCTAGCTAAGCGAGGGCATCCAAATCAGCCTGTCTTTCCTCCCGAAGGGAGGGGGCGTGGCTTATTTAGGTCCCGCCTCCGGCGCCAAAGCGTCCAGGCGGGACTTCCGCCAGACGAAGGGATCACTTCCGTATGGTGGAGATCTCGGCGGGCTCTGAGCCGGCCGCTGCGGAGGGAGCCTGCGGGCTGGGCTCCGGCCCTGCGCGCGGGCCGGAGATGCTGGGTGGCGACTCGGACGCCGGGGATAAGGGAGTGGAGAGCGATGCTGTGGGAGCTGTGGCCGCGCCGCCCGCCATTGACTTCCCGGTTGAAGGCTCGGACCCCAAGTATGACGGTGAGGAAACGTCAGTGTTGTGCGTCGCGCCTCTGTCCCCTGAGCCCCGCGTCTCTGCGTCCCGCATTCCCACGCGGGGCGGGCGGTCCCTGGGTCCTCCGGGGGCCTGGGCTTCAATTGGGGAGGGCAGAGGAGGGTCGGGGAGGCAGTGTCAGGTAAAGATTTTTGTTGATATTTCTGCTCCTCGGTTTCTTGGCCGGGGCCTTTGGACACCAGACGACGGGGCTTCCCCGAGGCTGCTTTCCAGCCCCCACTCAGGACCTGTGGGTTTGTCATTCGCTGAGAATGATCTTTGACCTTTAGTGTAGAATCGGACTTTGCAGACTGGCTACGCTTGAAGAGCTTGGGACTTGGAGCTTAAATTAGAAACTTCTATGCTTGGTTCTCTTCTGTCGCTGTCTCTCAATGTCTCTTTCCTCCCTCCTCTCTCCTTCCCTCTGTTTCTCTCTTCAATTTCGCTATCTATGGCTCTCATCTCTGTCTCCAAGCTTTTCGTTAGCAGGAGATGTGGCATAAGGAAGTCAAGTTTAAGTGGCAGGTGTTGGAAAGCAATTAACCATTTTAGTGGCATTTACTGACGTGCAGTGAGGGTCCTTATTTGATATTACTAGTTTTTGCGTGTGTATGTGTGTGGGAGGCGATACTGGTGTTGAACACAGGGCTTGCTGCTTACTAGATAGGTGCTTTACCACTTAAGCCACATCTTCAGCCTTTTTTGCTGGTTACTTTTGAGATAAGGGCTTACTAACCTGTGATTAGCTTCCCAAAGTAGCTAGGATTACAGGTGTTGGCCGTAAGTACTTGGCTTGTTTGGCTACATAAAAAAAAAATCACTTGTGTGGCTCAGTAGTAGAGTGCTTGCCTTGCATGAATGAGGCCCTGGGTTAGATTCCTCAGCACCACATAAGCAGAAAAAGCTGGAAGTGGTGCTGTGGCTCAAGGGGTAGAACACTAGCCTTGAGCTGAAAAGCTGAGGGACAGCACCCAGGCCCCATGACCGACTCCCCCCCCCAAAAAAAAAAAAAGTTGTGGAAGGCACTGGTGGCTCACACCTGTAATCCTAGCTACTTAGGAGGTTGAGATCTGAGGACTGTGCTTGAAGCTACTTGGGCCTGGAAAGTCCGTGAGCATCTTATCTACAGTTAATCACCAGAAAACTGGAAGTGGTTCTGTGGCTCAAAGTGGTAGAGCACTAGCCTTGAACAAAAGAGCTCAGGGATAGTGACCAGGCCCTCTGAGTTCAAGCCCCACATCTAATCACCCTCCCACAAAAAAAAATTCAGTTGTACTACCAAAAATGTATGCATTTGAGCTGGGGTTGTAGCCATCTATAGGAGGCTCTGAGTCGGTTCCTAAGCCTCTCCCTACCACGCTACCACCCTACCCTCCAAGAAATACATTGATTGTTTTAAGGAGTTTTTCAACTCTAAGGTATTTTACACATTTAACACAAGGATGGCATTAGTATTATTATATTGCTGTGGATTTAAAGATGAAAACCAAGGTGAGAAGTTTGTCATCTGTAAAACTTGACCACAATGAGAAAGAAAAGTAAACCAGAGTGGTAATTCAGGTGAAGTTTTATAGAGGAAGATGGTATGGTGGCAAATTTGTAATGATACCCTGATTTCTTGCACACATCAGTTGATATTAAGGCTCAGTGGTGTGGGGGATATTGATGTTATTAGGAAAAGTCCCAGCTGTAAACATACGAGTCACTCTTTTCTGTAACTGTGTGATAAGACTTTCTGCAAACCAAAGATTATTCTGGAAGGGAGTGATGATAGATAAACTTTGAAAAGTTTACTCCTCCTGGGTTTGCTGATAAATACTATTGTGCTTATTTATGTAATTGCCATTTCTCCCAAAGAGGCTTAGAATGTCCAGGAAGTGTGTGTGTGTGTGTGTGTGTGTGTGTGTGTGTATGTGTGTGTGTGTGTGTGTGTCTTGAGGTTTGAACTTAGGGCCTGGGTGCTGTCCCTGAGCAAAAGCTCAAGGCTAGCCCTTTACCACTTATGCCACAGCTCCTATTCTGGCTTTTTGGCCCATTAATTGGTGACCACAGACTTTCCTGCCTGGCCGGGCTTTGAACCATGATCCTCAGATCTCATCCTCCTAAGTAGCTAGGATGACAATTGTGAGCCACCCAGTGCCTGGCTCATATCTGTGAGCCATTTTGAATAGCAGTACACATGAAGTAGTTAAGTGATTTTTTTTAAATTGGTGCTGTGTATGATTTGAGGAGGACATTTATCCAGTTAACAGTAGAGTCAGAAAATTTAAAACAGGTGTAATTTCAGCAATTGGTTGTACCAGTTTAGCCTTTGAACAGTACACAGCTGGACAGCAGTCAACATCAGGTTCATTAATTTTCTTTGCATCTATCAGCAATTTTCATAAATTCTGTCAAATAATAATGGACAGTTCTGAGCATACTTGCCTGAGAAGAGTGAGTTAGATTTACCCTTTCTCATCTAATTACTCATATGCTGCATGTAGGAGTCTAGAACTCTAATTCAGCTAGGATCTGCATTTCATTTCTTACTATTTTGGAGAAATTGGCCTCATCTTTCCACCTTTTTCTCTTTTCCTCGTGACCAATATTATAAAGTGTGAGATTTAAGCTTCAGACATCATTGCTTTTCTGTTTTATTTCATTTGGGTTTTTAACTGGATTTTAAAAGTGGTCATTATCTTGATATCCTTTTCCCTTTCCCTTATTTCTTGGGAGAAGATACTGAGGATTGAATCCAAGGTCCCAAGCTTGCTAGGCAAGCACTCTATACTACTTGAGTCATGCCTTCAGCACTTTTATCTGGGGTGGCCTTCAACTTCTTATCTTCCTGCTTCTGTCTCCTGATATCGTGGATTACAGGCCTGTACTACCATGCTTGGCTATTTTCTTGAATTATTAAAGGTTTATTTGACGCTACTGACCAACTGTCTTGGGGCTTGAACTCTGGGCCTGAGGGCTGTCCCTGAACTCTTCAGCTCAAGGTGACACTCTACCACTTAAGCCACAGTGCCACTTCCGGCTTTTTCTGTTTATGTGGTACTGAGGAAGCAAACCCAGGGCCTCATGCATGTGAGACAGTCATTCTACCCAGCCCAACCATCTTATTCTTTATTGGTGATATTGGGATTTGAACTTAAGCCCTCATGCTTGCTAGGCAAGAATTTAAGCCAGTGTCCCCAGGTCAGCCACACCCCCATCCCTTTTCTGTTTTGCATTTTTCCTATTAAAAAATAAATTTTTCTAAACCAGGATGGAGCCAGTGGTAGAATGCTTCCAGAGTATGTGCTTATATATGTAATTGCCATAAAGAGTAGACCTACCTCATGGCAGAAAACAGGAAATAGAAAACCCTTCTAATCTTAATCTCACTACTGTTAATGGTGTGTGTGTGTGTAAGTAAAAATAAAACTTTTTTCCCCCCATGGTCCTGGGACTTGAACTCAGTGTCTGGGTGCTGTTCCTGAAGCTCTTTGTCCTCAAGGTTAGTGCTTTACCACTTGAGCCACAGCCACTTCCAGCTTTTTCTGAATAGTTTATTGGAGATAAGAGTATCATGGACTTTTCTGCCTGGGTTGGCTTTGCACTGTGAATCTCAGATCTGAGCCTTCTGAGTAGCTAGGATTACAGGTGTGAGCCACTGTTGCCCAGCTGGTTTATATTTTGATGTGGCTAAAAGAAATGGTTATGTTGGAGATTTTGCATTTAAAAATATTTGAGAAAGAAAGGTAACCTGGTAGAGCCCTTGTCTGGGATTCTGAGAGGTCTTAGGACTGATCTCCAGTACTGCCAAGCCACTGCCAAGCCACAACGACAGAAAAGAAACCTTTGGGTTTTGTAAAGATTGGCAAATCTTTATGAAGAGCTGTATGCCTGGCACTGTCCTAGGTACTGAGGTAGGACAGGCTGACTATAAAAAAGCATATAATGTTTATTTTACAGATTTTGTATTTGCAACTTTTAAAATATTTTTGCCCATTTTTAAGGTTTCTTGAATTTTTATTTTATGTACAAATATGGTCTTTCATTGGACTTGATATCTTGGATACTCCATTCAAGGACCATCACTTAGTACGACTTAATGAAGCCCATGTCTTTTGCATACCAGTGGAAACATTGCAGGCACATTTTGAGCCCATACTTCTGGATCAGACTGTGCGATTAGAGCACAAGTGGCAAGAGCGAGATCCATGGCTGAATTTTTCCAGTAGAGCTGCTGGTGACCAGTCTTGTTTCCACAGGTCCAACGAGGAAAAAGGCTTTTGTCTTTTTTTTTTTTGGTCAGTCGTGGGGCTTGAACTTTGGGCTTGGGCGTTGTCCTCACGCTCTTCAGCTCAAGGTGAGTGCTCTGCCACTTGAGTCACAGTGCCGCTTCGGTTTTGAGTGGTTTATTGGAGATAAAAGTCTCACAGACTTTTCTGTCTGGGCTGGCTTTGAATCACGATGCTCAGATCTCAGCCTCCTGAGTAGCTAGGATTACAGGTGTGAGCCACAGCACCCAGTTTTTTGCCCATTTTTGTAGCTATAAAATAAATACATTTTGGCCTTTGGTCCTTATCCAGCCTCCTACCTCATTCTTTGAGGGGTGTGGTCCCTGTTATGTAGTTGACTGTTGTTTAGTGTTACATCTCACTTTCAGGCATATTTTTGCTTCCCTAATGAGTTTTTACTATCTTGAAATATATATTCAAATATTTTGCTATCTATAATTTCTTCCTTCCTTCCTTCCTTCCTTCCTTCCTTTCTTTCTTTCTTTCTTTCTTTCTCTTTCTCTTTCTCTCTCTCTCTCTGTCTGTCTCCCTCTCTCTCTCCCTGTGCATCTATCTATGCCTCTAGCCCAGCATTTTGCTCATTATTTTTTTTTTTGTCGGACGTGGGGCTTGAACTCTGGGCCTGAGCGCTGTCCCTCAGCTCTTCAGCTCAAGGCTAGTGCTCTACCACTTGAGCAACAGCACCACTTGCAGTTTTCTAGTGGTTTATTGGAGATAAGAGTTTCACAGACTTTCTTGCCCAGGCTGGCTTTGAACCATGATCCTCAGATCTCAGCCTCCTGAGTAGCTAGGATTACAGGTGTGGGCCATGGCGCCCGGCTTTTTGCTTGTTATTTTGGAACTGAGTTCCCTGGCTGGATTCCCAGGCTGGCCTCAAACTTTGACCTTCCATATCTCAGACTCCTGAGTAGCTAGGATTTACAAGTGTGAGCCATCAGGGCCCAGCTATTTTTATTTATTTATTTATTTTTGACCAGTTGTGGGCTGAACTCTGGGTCTGGGTGCTGTCCCTCAGCTCTTTAGCTTAAGGCTAGCACCCTACTACTTGAGCCACAGCATCACTTCCGGTTTTCTGGTGGTTTATTGGAGATGAGAGTCTTATAGACTTTCCTGCCCAGGCTGACTTTGAACTCCAACCCTTAGATCTCAGCCTCCTGAGTAGCTAGGATTACAGGTGTGAGCCACCGGTGCCTGGCCCAGCTATTTTTTTTTAAGGTTTTTGATATAGTAATGGCCAGAGCAGTTGTATAGGTTTATATTCTCACATTTGAATCTGTCTCACCTCACCCTGACTAGCCTTCCTAAATTTGTAATAACTTTATTTTTTGTTGGTTGTGGGTCTTGAATTCAGGACCTGGGCGCTGTCTCTGAGGTCTTTTGCTCAAGGCTAGAGTTCAACCACGTTGAGCCTCAGCACCACTTCCAGTTTTTGAATGGTTAATTGGAGATAAGAGTCTGCCTGATTTGGCTTCAAACTGTGATCCTCAGATCTCAGCCTCCTGAGTAGCTAGGATTTCAGGTGTGAGCCACTGGCACCCAGCCAGACAGGTCTTTCTTTACTAGACTTGCTAGGACCTAGATCCTCCTGTTTATACTTCTACCATAGCCTAGTTAACAGATGGTGCTACTATGTCCAGCCTTTTCTGTTTAGATGGGGTATTGTGAATGACCTGGTGTGGCCATCAACTGATCTTCCCTATCTCAGTCTCCCAGGTAGCTGTAATGACAGGTGCATCCATTTGGCTAGCCGATTTCATTCTTGATGTCTTGGAACCTGTTCTTCCCTCTTTTGTGTAGTAATTTACCTCCTTTACTTTGCTTATTCTAACCCTTCCTTGTTTACTGCATGCCTCTTCCCAAATATGTTTCCAGAATAACATTCCTTAAATAATTCTTACTTTATTTTTTTTCACCTGTTTAATAATGTATTCCAAGCTCAGAGAGACAAACAGCACATGTTTTCTCTCATATGTAGGAGCTAGATCTAAAATACACCCGGATGTTTTACATTATACATGACTCTAGGCATTCACACGCAGTTGAGACCAAAGGGAGATACTCTTAGGAACACAAAGGGGCAATGCCCATGTGCCTCTGACCAAATAAAATAATATCTATTGAAATGAACTTTTAAAAAAAAGTGAATGTATTAAGCAAAATGTAGTAGCTCACACCTGTAATCCTCGCTGCTCAGGAGACTGAGATCTAAGGATTGCAGTTTGAAGGCAGGAAAGTCTGTGATACACTTTTTTTTTTTGGTTGGTTATGGGACTTGAACTCAGGACCTGAGCACTGTCCCTAAACTCTTTTGTGCAAGGGTAACACTCATCACTTTGAACCACAGCACTACTTCTGGTTTTCTGATGGTTCATTGGAGATAAGAATCTCTCAGTGTTCGCTTCGGCAACACATACACTAAAAGCAACACATATACTAAAATTAGAACGATACAGAGAAGATTAGCATGGCCCCTGCGCAAGGATGACACGCAAATTTGTGAAGCATTCCATATTTTTAAAAACAAATTGTTTAACTAGGTAGGGATACAGGTGGACCCATTGCAACAATGAGATGTACAAGTCGTTACGTTGAAAAATGAACTTTACAACTTTGGTAGGGGGGGAGGGGAGAGGATGGGAAAGGATGGGAAGGGGAAACAAAGAGGAGGCAACAATGCTTGATAAGAAATGTACTCGTTATCTTTCCCATGTAATTGTAACTCCTCTGTACAGTATTCTCACAATAAAATTAAAAAAAAAAGTCTCAGACTTTCCTGCCCGGGTTGGCTTTGAACTATGATCCTCAGATTTCAACTTCCTGAGAAGCTAGGATTACAGGCATGAGCCACCAATGCCTAGTTCTGTGAGATTCTTATCTCCAATCAAACATCCAAAAAGCCAGAAATGGAGCTGTGGTCCAAGTGGTAGAGTGCTAGCCTTGAATAATACTGCTCAGGGACAGTGCCCAGGCCATGAGTTCAAGCCCCAGGACTGGCACAAAAAATCGAAACAGAGAAAAAAAATGTATAAAACTCTGAGAATTTAGGAGCTTCAGCTTTAAGAGGCTGATCCTCTTTTTGGTCTTGGGTAATAGAAGAAGATGGGTATGAGTATCAGTCTGTTGTGCCGATACATTGCTTCTCCATATTGGAATCACTGTTCTTATTTGTAAGGTAGGGAAAGGGTGAGTTTAAAATTTTACTCAGCTTGTTTTTTGAAGACTAAAGGAGATAGTGTGTGCGAACCCCTGCTTCACGAGGCAAAACTGTTCCATCCTTTTCTTCCCTTTCCAAGCCTTCTTTATTTAGGAAGTAAGCTATTCTATTCCCACTTGCTAGCTTATTTCCTGTCATGTTACTTTATTCATTCTTTACTCCATTTGCTGCCAGCATTGGCTGCTGGCCCTCCAGTTCTCAGAATTCAACTTAGATTCACTTCCTGGAAGTTGTTTTTTTGTGTGTGTGTCGGTTGTGGTGCTTGAACTCTGGGCCTGGGTGCTGTCCCCCAGATCTTCAGCTCAAGACTAGTGCTCTACCACTTGAGCAACAGCACCATTTCTGGCTTTTTCTGCTTATGTGGTGCTGAGGAATTGAAGCTAGGGCCTTATGCATGCAAGGCAAGCACTCTACCACTGAGCCACCTTCCCAGCCCTACTCTTGTTTTTTATTTCTCAGTGTTAAAAATAATTTCTGTTTCATTAATTAGAATATGCAGTTTTGTTCTTGTAAGACATGTTTGCCAATAATATTTTATGTTTTTACTTTTTTAGAATCTGATGTTCCAGCAGAACTCCAAGTGTTAAAAGAACCCCTGCAACAGCCAACTTTCCCTTTTGTAGTTGCAAACCAACTGCTTCTGGTGTCTCTGCTGGAGCACTTGAGCCATGTGCATGAGCCAAACCCACTTCACTCTAAACAGGTGTTTCAATGTAAGTAAGAAGAACTCGGCTTCCTAATAGAGCTTGTAAAAGTGTTTTACTAATTACATATCTGCTGTGGCTCTGAAGAAGCAAGTTGTGCATAAAAAATTGGGTTAAAAAAAGTGTGAAGTGGGACTGGGAAGATGGCTTAGTGGTACAGTGCACTGCCTTGCATACATGAGGCCTTGGGTTTGATTCCTCAGCACACATAAGCAGAAAAAGCCAGAAGTGGTCCTATGGCTCAAGTGGTAGAACGCTAGCCTTGAGCTGAAGATTGAGGGACAGCACCCAGGCCCAGAGTTCAGGCCCCATGACCACCACCAACAACAACAAAAAATTGTGAAGGTCTGGTAATGTGGCCTAGTGGTAGAGTGCTTGCCTAGCATGCATGAAGCCCTGGGTTTGATTCCTCAGTAACACATCAACAGAAAAATCTGAAAGTGGTGCTGTGGCTCAAGTGGTAGAGTGCTAGCCTTGAGCAAAAGAAGTTCAAGGTCAGTACCCAGGCCCTGAGTTCAAGCCCAGGACTGGCAAAAAAAAAAAAAATGCTACTCAGGAGGCTAAGATCTGAGGATCGTGATTCAAAGCCAGCCCGAGCAGGAAAGTCCGTGAGACTCTTATCTCCAATAAACCACTAGAAAACCAGAAGTGTCACTGTGGCTCAAGTGGTAGAGCACTCACCTTGAGCTGAAGAGCACAGGGACAGTGCCCAAGTCCAGAGTTCAAGCCCCACAACCAATAAAAGCAAAAACAAAACAAAACAAAAAGACTTGCCAGGAGCTGGTAGCTCATGCCTGTAATCCTAGCTACTCGGAAGGCTGAGATCTGAGCATTGCAGTTCAAAGTCAGCCCAGGCAGGAATGTCTGTGAGATTCTTATTTCCAATTAACCACTAGAAAACTAGAAGTGGCACTGTGGCTCAAGTGGTAGAGTACTTGCCTTGAACTGAAGAGCTCATAGCGCCCAGGCCCAGAGTTCAAGTCCCATGACTGACCCCCCAAAAAAAGTGTGAAGTCAGGCACCAATGGCTCAAACCTGTAATCCTAACTACTCAGGAGGCTGAGATCTGAGAGTTTTGATTTGAAGCCAGCCCAGGCAGAAAAGTCCCCACGAGACTCTTATCTCCAGTTAACTACCAGAAAATTGGAAGTAGTGCTGTGGCTCAAAGTGGTAGAGCATTAACTTTGAGCAAAAGAGCTAGGGACAGTGCTCAGGCCCTGAGTTCAAGACCCATGAATTGGAGTGAGAGGAGTATGAATAACTACATTCCTTAAATTCATTTCATATTTTCTTTTAGGTTATGCCTTATAAGTGTAAACATTCAGGACACTAAAAGTGTGTGTAATTGAGTAAACAAAGGGTAATTCTTAGGGAGGTGCTCTATTAATTGAGCTATGCTCCAGCCATCTCATGATTTTTAAAATAAATATAGTATTTGAATAAAATATGTAATGTTTACATATATAAATAACTACTAAATGTATTTGTTAATTATTTTTAGTGCTACTAGTGTTGGGGTTTAAACTTAGGGACTCCCTATTTTTCACTCAAGACTGGTAGCCTAACACCTTAACCAGGCTTCCACTTCTAGCTTTTTCCTGGTTAACTGGAAATAAGAGCCTCAGATTTTTCTGCTCTAAACCATGATCTTCAGATCTTACCATCCTGAGTAGCTAGGAGTACAGGTGTGAGGCACAGCTACCCTGCTGTTGCTGCCGCCGCTGCAGCTTCCTGATACTGGGATGAAACCCAGGGACTTGTGCATGCCACTGAGCAAATCAGTAAAAGCCAGAACATATATTGCGTAATAAATGCTTTCTGTATGTTGGCTGATTCCATATTGAAAAGAATCATCCTTGCTATCCTATTGGCTGTCCTATTGCCTGTCATCCAAAGTGCAGTGTGTGAAATGTCAGAAGATTGTGTTTATATTTCTTACCCTTTTATTATTATTTTTTTTGGGGGGTCCGGTTATGGGGCCTGAACTCTGGGCTTGAGCACTGTCCCTAAGCTCTTCAGCTCAAGGCTAGTGCTCTACCACTTGAGCCACAGCGCCACTTCCGGCTTTTTTCTTTTTGCTTATGTGGTGCTGAGGAATCGAACCCAGGGCCTTGAGCATGTAAGGCAAGCGCTCTACCACTGAGCCACCTTCCCAGCCCTTCTTACCCTTTTAAAATGAGCCAAGTCTTGTCATGACTAGGTGTGGTTGACGAGTGACTCACACAGTAGAAGGTGGGTACTGATGCTGCACATGCTCCTGATCCCCACTGCCCAGAGTGGCCATGGTTACCACGTATATAGGCCTCACTGTTTTCTCTTCTGGAGGTTTGTGCATGTGTATACTATTACTCTTCATTCTTAGAGTGCCATTTAAAATGGCCATTTGACGGATGGCTTTTCTAATAGCAGCTTTCCATGCTCTTCCTATAGTACTTTGCCAGACTTTCATCAAGATGGGGCTGCTGTCATCTTTCACGTGCAGTGATGAGTTCAGCTCATTGAGACTGCATCACAACAGAGCCATCTCGCATTTGATGAGGTCTGCAAAAGAAAGAGTCCGTCAGGTAAACCCTAATGTGTGTACTTCATCTGTGACAATGTAGGTTTTACTTTGTCTTTGCTGAAATGGAGCTAGCTTAGTGGTAGGGCATTTGCTGGCATGCACAGTGCCCTAGGTTTGATCCCCAGCATTGGAAACAAAACAAACAAGGCAAATAATCTGATGATATTTTAAAACATTTTGAAATTCTGCATAATACAGCAGGTTTTAAAGAATATATAAGCAGGGTCCTGGTAGCTCATATCTGTAATCCTAGCTGCTCATGAGGCTAAGATTTGAGGATCTCAGTTCAAAGCCAGCCTGGGCAGAACAATCTGTGAGACCCTAACCATCAGAAAACTGTAAGTGGCATGGTAACTCAAAGTGGTAGAGTGCTAGACTTGAGCAAAAAGAGCTCAAGGACAGCACCTAGATCCCAAGTTCAAAATCCTGCGACCAGGGGGAGAAGGGGAAAAAAAAAAAATATATATATATATATATATAAAGTTTCAGGTAATAATGTGCTTGTAATCTCAGCACTTGGGAGACAGAGGCAGGAATATGGAGGCCAGCTTAGGTTACACTGCAAGACTCTATCTCAAAATTTTTTTTGTGTGTATGTGCATGTTTGTGTGCTTTGTTGATTCAGTAATACTTACTGAGTACCGTATTACTAATATTACTGTATTATTGAAGTATTATAGTCCAGCACCTACTATACTGTAGGTGACTAAATTCCTGCCCTTATGGAGTATATATTCTACTGAGGAGGCAGTACACAGTATGTAAAATATGAAAATACAGCGGGTGTTAGGTCACTAAAGTAAAGAAGAAACATGGGCGGTGAAGGGGCTTAGCAGTGAGCAGCTTTGCAAGTTTCATGTAGGGCAGCTGGGGCCTGATTGACACTGAATTGAAGTCAAGAGTTGCAGTTGAGAGAATGAGCTATGCAGGTGTGCTGAGGAAAACCAAGGAACAGGTAGTGCAAGGATCCTGTGGTGGATGTGCTGGTTGTGGATGCAAAACAGCTATGAAACTGGAGTAGAGTAAGAAAATGGCAATGGACTGGGAATGTGACTTAGTGGTAGAGTGCTTGCCTAGCATGCATGAAGCCCTGGGTTCGATTCCTCAGTACCACATAAACAGAAAAAGCCAGAAGTGGCTCAAATGGTAGAGTGCTAGCCTTGAGCAAAAGCAGCTCAGGGACAGTGCCCAGGCCCTGAGTTCAAGTGCCAGGACTGGCAAAAAAGAAAGAAAGAGAAAAGGGTGAGCTTGGGAGGGAGCAGGCATACAGGATCCTGAGATTTTTTTTTTTTTTTTTTGTCAGTCATGGATCTTGAACTCTGGGTCTGGGCGCTATCCCTCAGCTCTTCAGCTCAAGGCAAGTGCTCTACCACTTGAGCCATAGTGCCACTTCTGGTTTTCTGGTGGTTTATTGGAGATAAGAGTCTCACAGACTTTTCCTGCCTGGGTTGGCTTTGAACCATGACCCTCAGATCTTAGCTACCGGTGCCTAGCTTTTTTTTTTTTTGGCTAGTCCTGGGACTTGAACTCAGGGTCTAGGCACTGTCCCTGAGCTGCTTTTGCTCAAGGCTAGCACTCTACCACTTGAGCCCAGCGCCACGTCTGGCTTTTTCTGTTGATGTGTTACTGAGGAATCAAACCTAGGGCTTCATGCATGCTAGGCAAGCACTCTACCACTAAGCCACATTCTCAGCCCCCTGAGACCATTTTAATGTGTGTGTTTTACTCAGAGAAAGATGGGAAATACTGCAGGTCTGATGCGCTTTTAACAAGGTCACACCTGCTGTTGTGTGTGTGCTAAGGTGTGAAAGGCAGAAGCAGATAGGTTCAGCCATGCTTCAGCTGGTGGTATGGCTCTGAGTAAGTAGAGAGAGAGCAGTGGAGACAGGTGTGTGGGTTCATATGGGTATGGGTGTGATGTCACTGGTTATGTGTGGTCAGTTTGTATATTCTCTGAGGTTCAAAACATGTTACATGGAGCGCTTTGGCAAATAAATTCTGTCTTGAAACATTGTCAATTGTAAACTCTTAAGTAATACTAAAAGTCCTATTTTTTGTTTCTAATATTGTTTGAACATCTGGGGTTATTCATATGATGTTGAATTATTTTTAGTAGAGTCCTTAGTCATGAAACTTTTCAAATTGTTACTACAAATGATTTTTGGTTTTAGGATCCTTGTGAGGACAGCTCTTACATGAAGAAAATCAGGTATGTGTTAAGTACTTTTTTGACTATCCAAAGATTAAACTATCCAAAAGAAATGAAGTTTAGGAAAGTGTTAGTTTTGGAATTTAAAAATAATGTTGAATCTGGGCACAGGTGGCTCACACCTATAATCCTAGCTACACAGGAGGCTGAGATCTGAGGATTGTGGTTCAAAGCCTGGGCAGAGAAGTTCATGAGACACTTTTAACTCCAGTAAACCACTCAGAAAAGTGGGAAGTAGCACTTGTGGCTCAAGTGGTAGAGCACTAGCCTTGAGCACAAAGAGGCTCGGGGACAGTGCCTAGGGCCTGCGGACTAGCAAAACAAGGAAAAAAAAAATGTTGGAGGAGTTGATGAACATTGCAACATTTGCCACTCAACAGTGCTCCAAGATTTGCTTTACTGCTCATTGTCTTCCATGTTGATCTCCACCCCGCCCCCTCATGGTTGGGGATTCTATAAGCCCAGCTATGAACTCTATAATGGATAGCTACTCTCTACTAGCGGTAGTGTCAAATTTTGCCTTTATTTACCAAATGTTTAAAATGGGTAATGAAGCTAGGCGCCAGTGGCTCATGCCTGTAATCCTAGTTACTCAGGAGGCTGACTTCAAAGCCAGCCAGGGCAGGGCAGGAAAGTCCATTAGACTTATTTCCAGTTAACAACAAAAAGATCCAGAAGTGGACCTGTGGCTTAATTTACGGTTGAGCACTAGCCTAGGGGAAAAAAAAACAAAAAAACAAAAAAACTCAGGATCAGCACCTAGGTTCTAAGTTCAAGCCCCAGGGACCCACAGAAAATTTTTCTTTTTAAACGTGTAATGGGTTTACATCATTAAGAAGTTTAAGTATGTGTATTTCTGAGCTATCCTAAGCAACTACTTAATCTTCCTGAGGATTTTGTAAGGATTTTGAATTGTGATACTGCTTACTGGGAAGTTCCTGAAATTGGTTTTGCTTGACCCCCTTTGCTTTATGTATGTATGTAGTTTTGAGGCTCTCTTACCACCATAGGTCTGCATAGCCTTGAAACTCCAAATCTTCCTGCATCAGCCTTCCCAATGAGATTGCAGGTGGGCACTACCGCTACTTGTATTACAGCCTTGATTTCCTTAGTGAACATTTTTGTCATCGAGAATGAAAAATTTCCCTGACAATTCGTTCCTTCCAAACTATTGTGTGCAATTTAGTCATACACGAGGTTGATAGGTTTGTAATGCATTGAGCATGAGCTTGGCCTGGAAGGTTTTGATTGTCTCACAGTTTAACATTGATGACCTGTGTTTATTGTTAACTTTTAGATCCAGAGAAATAGCCTTTGAAGCACAAACTTCACGCTACTTAAATGAATTTGAGGAGCTTGCCATCCTTGGAAAAGGTGGATATGGGAGAGTATACAAGGTTGTTTTCCACTTACTCATTTTGACTGCTACGCTATAACTCTGCATTTTCAGAAGATGTTTTTATTACCTTTACAAAACTACAAAGTGCGCAGGGAATTCCTAGAAATCATGAATATTTACTTTTCATTAGCAGTTAGCATTTATAAGGGAGTAGGCAGGTTTTCATTTTTTTCTGCCCATTTTGGATATTTAGGTGGATTCTAGAAACTAGATTTTGTTCCTGTCATTTCAGCTTCTAGGGGAACACAATGGCTAGGCACAGTGGTGTATGCCTGCCATTCCAAGCTAGGTGGGAGGCTGTGAAACTGAAAGAAGGCAGTATTTAGCCAACTTGGTCAGAAGTCTGAAAGGTTTTGTATACACAGAGAGCAATGTTCACCTGTGATCCCACAAGTGCCAGGAAGCCTAAACATGGTTGGATTTCAGCTTATGCACGATCCTGGCAGAAAAGAAGACCTATTCCTAAAAATAACCAGTGAAATACAGGGCTGATGGCATGGCTCAGTGGTATTGTGCCAGCCTATCAAGCATGAGGCTCTAAGTTGAAACTCTAGTACCACACACATATAAAGTGTTACTGAAGGAAGCTCCCAGGTGGGATACAGGCGTTTAAAGAAAAGTACTAGTAAAAATGTTTGTGCTGGGCTGGGAAGGTGGCTCAGTGGTAGAGCGCTTGCCTTGCATGCATGAGGCCCTGGGTTTGATTCCTCAGCACCACATAAGCAGAAAAAAGCCAGAAGTGGCACTGTGCCTCAAGTGGTAGGGCGCTAGCCTTGAGCTGAAGAGCTGAGGGACAGCGCCCAGGCCCAGAGTTCAGGCCCCATGACTGGACTCCAAAAAAAAAAAAATGTTTGTGCTACATGTTTTGGTGCTTAATAGTTTTGCTGACTTTTTTATTCTCCAGATGTGGAGTGTCTGGGAGTTGGACTTAGTGTAGCTTGCAGAATGGCTGGTCTAGCAGGCTAGGGCTGACCTCTAAGAGTAGTGGAAGGAAGAGACATGGCTTTAGCTTGATTTGCTGTCTTTGGCTGTTTAGATTATCTCAGCTTGGGTTTAATACTTTGTCTTTTGTTGGCTTTTTTAGGTCAGAAATAAATTGGATGGTCAACATTATGCAATTAAGAAAATCCTGATTAAGGGTGCAACTAAAACAGATTGTATGAAGGTAAGATTTTAAATGATTAGAGCCAGGCTTGGTGGCAAGCCTATATGATCCCAGCTACTAGGGACACTGAGGCAGGAAGCTCTTCCTGAGCTCAGGAGTTTCTGACCAGGCTGCACAACATACAGAATCTCATTTAGGAAACCGTTTTTGAATAGTTATTTAGTTTCTTTAGAAAGAATTGTCATGTATTTATTTGTGTATATATGGCAAAGAGTAGGTGGTATGAATTGTTGGTTTACTAAGAATCAGTACAGTAACTATCGAAGTTTTTATTTGATTTTTTAAAAATAGGCACTTCATTCGAACAGAGTTTCAGGGTCAGCAGAGGAATTATTATTATTATTATTTTTGCCTGGGGCTTGAACTCAGAGCTTGGGCACTGTCCCTGAGCTGCTTTTGCCACAGCTCCACTTCCGGCTTTTTGGGTAGTTAAATGGAGATAAGAGTCTCACAGACTTTCCTGCCTGGACTGCTTCAAATCATGATCCTCAAATGTCAGCCTCCTGAGTAGCTAGGATTATAGATGTAGGCTACTAGCACCTGACTATATATAAATACATTTTTATATTTATGATTTATATATTGTACAGCTTGCTCTAAAAAGAGCATGAGGCCAGTTCAGGTCTTAGACTTCTCTCTGACATGCTGTCTTGTTCTGGACAAGTTGGCCTGTCCTCTGAGCCACTCTGTCGACAACTCCTGAAGTAGGAGTGACAAGCCAGATGTAGTGGTTTGGGCCTGTAATCTTAGCACTGAGGGAGGACTGGTAGCAGGAATATTGAGACTCAAAGGCCAGCCTGGGCTACACATAGAAACATCTCTCTCAACAAATAAGCAAATAAAACCCCCCAGGATTTGGGAGAACTTAGCTTAATGGTAGAACACTTTCCTAACATGCTCAAGGACCCTCGGTTAGATCTCCAGAAACTAAAGAATGGAGAGAATGACAAATGGACTATAAAAAGAGCCAACGCCAGTGGCTTATGCCTATAATCCTAGCTACCCAGGAGCTGAGATTTGAGGATTGTGATTTTTTTTTTTTTTTGGAGGTGGGGGTCTGGTCGTGGGGCCTGAACTCTGGGCCTGGGTGCTGTCCCTCAGCTCTTCAGCTCAAAGCTAGCGCTCTACCACTTGAGCCACAGCGCCACTTCCAGCTTTTTTCTTTTTGCTTATGTGGTGCTGAGGAATCGAACCCAGGGCCTCATGCATGCAAGGCAAGCGCTCTACCACTGAGCCACCTTCCCAGCCCAAGGATTGTGGTTTGAAGCTAGCCCTGGCAGGAAAGTCTGTGAGGCTCTTATCTCCATTAAAATGACCAAAAATAAGTCAGAAGTGGAGTTGTGGCTCATGTGGTTGAGTGCAGTGACAGTGCCCAGGCCCTGAGGAATTGGCACAAAACAAAAAAATGTCAGGCACCAGTGGCTCTTACCTGTAATCCTGTCTATCCAGGAGGCTGAAATCTGAGGATCCTAGTTAGAAGTCAGCATGGGAAACCAAATATGGGAGACTCCGATCTCTACCAGCAAAAGGGCAGAAGTGGAGCTGTGGCTCAAGTGGTAGAGTACAAACACTAAGCAAAAAAGCTCAGGGACAGCACCTAGACCCAGTATTTAAGCCCCAGGACTGGCACCCCTCCAAAAATAAAGAAAAGAAAGAAAATAAAAAGAAAAAAATAAATAAAATACTATGTGTGTATGAGTTAGCAAGCTGTGACAAGAGCACTACTAGTCTTTCCCAGCAATATTTCCATTATTTTACACAGCTCAGATTGCTTGTACAGTTTTTTAATTATTTGGCTTTGGAATAAGAAGTTTTTGATATATGACATGTAATACATTTTTTATTTTCAAGGTACTACGGGAAGTGAAAGTGCTAGCAGGGCTTCAGCACCCCAACATCGTAGGCTATCACACCGCGTGGATCGAACATGTTCATGTAGTTCAGACACAGCGTGAGTAGATTTTGGCGATAGATTGGGCTGTTGTAGTCCACAGACCTGAAATCTGAAAAGCTCCCAACTCCAAAACTTCTAGAGCATCATGAAGGCATTCAAAAATTTTCAGATTTTTGAGCTTTTTGGATTTTCAGGTCAGAGATACTCAGCTAGTAGTCTGTGTGAATATTCCAGAATTTGAAAAAGAAATGTAGTGTTTCATATAAAATGAAACACTTTTGGTTCCAACCATTTTGCGTAAGAAATACCCAGACTTGGATAGCAAAGGGTTAGCAAACTTGCATCCATGGGCCAATTCTGTATGCCTTGTATTTGAGTGTCCCGCGAGCTGAGAATGAGTATTATATTTTATTTTATATTTTTTGTTGTTACTAGCTTTTATTTTTTTTGTCAGTCATGGGGCTTCAACTCAGGGCCTGGGCACTCTTCCCTGAGCTTTTTCTGCTCAGAGCTAAAACACTTCCACTTTGAGCTACAGTGCCACTTCTGGTTTTCTGGTGGTTTATTGGAGATAAAACTTTCCTGCCTGGGCTGGCTTTGAATCATGATCCTCAGATCTCAGCCTCCTGAGCAGGTAGGATTACAGCCACCAGTGCCTAGCATTATTGAGGTCTTGAACTCAGAGCATTGTAATACCTAAGCAGGCACTCCTTTACTTTTTACTCCTTTACTTTACTTTTTTTGTATGTGTATGCTAGTACTTTGGCTTGAATTCAGGGCCTAATGCTCACTTGGGCCTCATGGGCTTTTTGCTCAAGATTGGTGCTTTACCACTTGAGCTACAACTCCTTCTTCTGTTTCTTGCTAGTTATTTGGAGATAAGATTTTCATGGACATTTCTGCCCAGACTGGCTTTGAACCTTGATCCTCAGATTTCAGCCTCCTGAGCAGCTAAGATTACAGGAATAAGCCACTGGTGCCTGGCATTTTACTTTTATTTATTTGGAAAGTTTTGACATGGTTGTACTTTAATAAAACAAGGCTAACGTAGGGAGAAATAGAAAAGAAGAAACATTTCATGCTCCCCTCATAGGAAATAGGAGTAAAAGAGTCCTTTTTTTTTGAAGTATCAGCCATGTGTCAGAAGTAGTCTGGTCATTCATTCATTCATTCATTCATTGCCTTGCTAGAGATTGACCCAGGCCTTGTGCCTCTTACTACTAAGCACCATGTCTTTCACATTTTAAGATAGATTTATTAAAAAAGACTATTTTGTAAAAATTACATGAAATTTGTATTTTAGTAATAGTAAATAGTTTATTAGAACACAAACCTATACAGTGCCCAGGGCTGATTTTCACCCCAGTAGAACTGCAGTAGCAGAGTCCCTCGGGTCCCCAGAACTGTCAGTATTCACTAACTTGCATAGGAAGCTTCCCAAGAGGCTAGACAGCTCTATTTTATAGTTCCTAAAATGTGCCTTTGAATAAATCCTTACTGATATATGTGTATGTGTATGTGTGTGTGTGTATTTATTTATTTTTGGGTCCAGTTGTGGGGCCTGAACTCTGGGCCTGGGCGCTGTCCCTCAGCTCTTCAGCTCAAGGCTAGCGCTCTACCACTTGAGCCACAGCGCCACTTCTGGCTTTTTTCTTTTTGCTTATGTGGTGCTGAGGAATCGAACCCAGGGCCTCAGGCATGTAAGGCAAGCGCTCTACCACTGAGCCACCTTCCCAGCCCCTGTGTGTGTATTTATGATATATATGCTACACCCTAGTTTTAACCTGGAATTGAATTGAAAGAGTGGCTACTTGCTTGCAAATGTGTGTGTTTCATTTCTTTTCAGCAGACAGAGCTCCTATCCCATTGCCTTCTCTCAAAGTGCTCTCTGACCAGGAAGAGGACAGGTATGTGGACTGACTGCTGTTACTTCTATAAGATGTTTGCTTTTACTTGTAGCATCTCACTTTTGTCTTTTGTTACTAGGAACTTGAGGTGAGTGTTTTAGGCTTTAATTAATAAAATTAATTTATTTTTGTGGTACCAAGGCTTGAACTCAAGGTCTTGTGCTTGCTAGGAACATGGCTCCACCACTGAGCTAAGTATGTTAGTACTAGGGCTTGAATGTGAGCCTCTAGCGTGGCATTTTCCACTCAAGGCTTGGTGCTCTACCATTTGTACCACACTTCCACTTTCAGCTTTTTCTTTTTTTTGGGGGGGGGGTTCCGGTCGTGGGGCCTGAACTCTGGGCCTGGGTGCTGTCCCTCAGCTCTTCGGCTCAAGGCAGGCACTCTACCACTTGAGCCACAGCGTCACTTCTGGCTTTTTTCTTTTTGCTTATGTGGTGCTGAGGAATCGAACCCAGGGCCTCATGCATGTAAGGCAAGTGCTCTACCACTGAGCCACCTTCCCAGCCCCTTCAGCTTTTTGATGGTCAATTGGAGATAAGAGTTACAGGAATTTGTCTGTCTAGGCAGGCTCCAAACCTTGATTCTGAGACCTCAACTTCTTGAGTAGCTAGGATTGTAGGTATGATCTGCCGACATCTGGTTTTGAACTTCCTTTATATTCACTTTTATCTATACTGTTTTTACCTCCAGAGATCAATATAGTGGCAAAGATAATGAAAGCAGCTCGTCCATTGTCTTTGCTGAATTTACCTCAGAAAAAGAAAGACCCTCTGGTGAGCTTGACATTGCAAATGAAAATAACAAATTGGTGAACTACACCAGGGATTTAGTCATCAGGGACAGCAGTGAATATGCATCGCCCTTTGAACACCACGAGAATGGCCTGGCTGATTTGTCCCCCAGATCCATCGTGAAACACCGGCTGCCACTTGAGCAGGATTCAGACTTAGAGGGGAATTTCATATCCACCGAGGAGTCTTGCGAAGGGAATTTGAGCTTTCTGGGACAGACAGAGGTGAGACACCTTCTCAGAACCCACCTGTGTGATGATGTCTGCCAGTGACTGTGTGCCCTCCCTTTTCCAAGCTTACTTCCTTCACTTCCATGATGCCTAATTCTTCTTCCCTGGGTCATTGCTGCTCAAGATCTTCCCAAACATCTGCCTGGGAGTTGGAAGACTCATTCACTCTATTTCTGTTATATATCAGCTATAAAAATATATCTATGAGGAAAGATTTTACTATTTTTGGAGCATGACATTAGGTGGTTCCTGTAGAGTAACCTGATCAGTTTTCAGGGTTCTTCTGTTGAGGGTTATCATAACATGATAGTTTCACTGTATATTCACCAGTATTGCTATGATTAAAAATCTTTGAGGGACTGGGAATGTGGCTTAGTGGTAGAGTACTTGCTTAGGCTTAGGTGTTCGATTCCACAGTACCACATAAACAGAAAAAGCCAGAAGTGATGCTGTGGCTCAAGTGGTAGAGTGCTAGCCTTGAGCGAAAGAAGTTTAGGGCAGTGGCCAGGCTCTGAGTTCAAGTCCCAGGGCTGGCAAAAATAACAAAAACCTTGAGCAAGCCGGGTGCCTGTAATTCTAGCTACTCATGGCTGAGATCTCAGGATTGCAATTCAGAGCCAGTCCAGGCAAGAAAGTCTGTGAGACTCCATCTCCAATAAATTACCAGAACAGCCAGTTGAGTGTAGCCTTGAGTAAAAGAAGCTCAGGGACACAGCACCTAGGCCCCAGGACTGACAACTCCACAAAAAACCCAGTAGTGGAGCTGTGGTTTAAGTGGTAGAGCTTTAGCCTTGAGCAGAAAAGCTAAGGGATAGTGCCCAGGCCCTGAGTTTAAGTCCCAGAACTAGTGGATATATGCGTGCATGAACACACACACACATGCACCCACACACTATTAGCTATTTAGGTGAAATCTGAGGATTGAGGTTCAAAGCTAGCCCGGGCAGGAAAGTCTGTGAGACTTAACTCCAATAAACTACCAGAAAACCAGAAGCGACACTGTGGTTCCAAGTGGTAGAGTGCTAGCCTTGAGTGAGAAAGCTCAGGGACAGCCCAGACCCTGAGTTTCAAGCCCCACGAATAACCAAAAAACAAAAAAACCTTGAGCATTGACAGTTTATGTACGATCTGTCAGTAAGACTGCAGAGCTGTGTGTACCATCTATGCATATACAATGCAGAATTAGCTCTTGCTAGGAATATGTGTCTGTAGATATATTTTTGTTTTGAAACAGGTTCATGTCCAAGGAGTTGAATTTGAGTAACTTAATCAGAATAGTTTCATTTCTCTGTATGTATTTGGAAAAACTTCCTTGATACTCAAATAAGTGGGCCTATAAACAACTTACTGTTTGCTTAAGTAACAGTTATGTACAATGCAAAGCCAAGCAAAGCATAGTTTAGAGTATATTGAGAGCTGTAGAATACCATACAACCATTTTATTATATTTTATCTTCGCTTTCAAAGTATTTAGTATTACATTGGACAGCTTCCCTATTGGACTTTCCTCTGACTCCAGTCTGGCCTAGGCCTGTCTCTTTGTATCATGGTACAGAGTTGTTTTTTCTTGTTTTTTTTTTTTTGGGGGGGGACCCGGGGGTTGGTTGTAAGGCCTGATCTGTGGGCTTGTGCACTGTCTCTCAGTTCTTCAGCTCAAGGCTAGTGCTCTACCACTTGAGCCACAGCGCCACTTCCAGCTTTTTTTTCTGCTTATGTGGTGCTGAGGAATCAAACCCAGGGCCTCATGCATGCAAGGCAAGCACTCTACCACTGAGCCACCTTCCCAGCCCATGGTGTACAGTGTTTTAATGATCACTCTGCTTGTATGTCTTTTAGAGACTGGGTTCTGGGACAGGCCTGTGTTTCAGCAGTTAGCTATGCTATTTGGTGTAGGGAGACCAGTGAGTATCTGCTATTAAATGAATATGAGTGAACCATCAAAGCTGAGAGCCCAGCCCACCTCACCGTGTGTCCTCTTTATAGGTGCAGTACCACCTGATGCTACACATTCAGATGCAGCTGTGCGAGCTCTCCCTGTGGGACTGGATAGTGGAGAGAAACAAGCGCAGCCGCGACTGCGTGGACGAAACTGCCTGTCAGTACCTCCTGGGTTTGTAACAATGCAGTGTAAGAATCTTTTCCTGCTAATGTAGGAATTGCCAGCAGGAGTTTTATGTTAAAAAGTTAGAAGCAAACTAAACAGACCAGCCAAAAAAGCTGAAGAAACAACTGTGCTTATTTTGCTTATCTTTAAAAAAGAAAAAAAATGATATAGCTATTTAGAAGTTAAATTCCTTTGTGATAAAGATTTGCTTTTGTTGATATTTTAATAGTACTATGATGGAATTTAGGAAAAGGATTTTGTTTTGCGTTTTGTTTGTTTTGCTTTTTCCTGGAGCTTGAACTCAGGGCCTCATGCTCTCGCTTGGGCTTTTGCTCACAGCTGGTTCTACCACTTGAGCCACGTTTCCTTTTCTGGGCTTTTTGCTGATTAATTTGGAGATGAGTCTCATGGACTTGCCTGCCCCAGCTGACTGTGAACCACAATCATTGGATCTTGGCCTCTGGAGTAGCTCAAATTATAGGTGTGCACTGATTCTTGTCCTGTATATGTGTGCACCATGCATATGTGTGCATACATGCTAGTACTAGAGCTTGAACTCAGGGCTTCGGTGCTATCCCTGAGCTTTTTTGCTCAAGACTGGTGTTCTACTGTTTGAGCCACAGATCTGCTGCTGGCCTTTTGCTGGTTAATGGGAGATGAGAGTCTCACTGACTTTCCTGCCCAGGATGACTTCAAACTGAGATCCTCAGATCTCAGCCTCCTGAGTAGTTGCAATTACAGACATGGATCTTCAGCACCCAGCCATCTGCCTTAAATTCTCAACAGCTAAGCATTGGTGGCTTATGCCCTTAATCCCCACTACTCAGGAGGCTGAAATCTGAAGATTACAGTTTGATAACTACTCAGAAGAAGCTGAAGGTGGCGCTGAAGGTTCAAGTGGTAGAGCACTGGCCTTGAGCAAAAGTTCAGGGACAGCACCCAGGTCCTAAAGTCCAGCCCCAGGACTAGCAACAAAAAAATTCTAGGATACAACAAAATACTTATTTGACTTTATCACTTTTTTAAACCTGAAATTCTGATACCAAGTATTTCTAGGTTTTAGGCCACTCTGGAGTATTGACATTGTTAAGAACATGAATGTTGCCTCAGTGTCCAATTTGTATGTATTTGGAGCCATGTTAACATTTAGATGTTAATGCAATGAAATAGAATAGAGAGATGAGACTGTTTATGTTTCCATTCCAGGTCCTTATGTTATGGCCAGTGTTGCAACAAAAATTTTTCAAGAATTAGTGGAAGGTGTATTTTATATACATAACATGGGAGTTGTGCACAGAGATCTGAAGGTAAGGAAGACAAGGCAACTAAATTATTGAACACAGAGATGGTTTCTTTTGAGCGTGTTTTTTTGATTGTGGGTCATTGAATTAGGTGATATACCCTTATTTACTTTGGAATTTTTCATTACTTTCATATAAGTAATTTTCCCATAGGTCCAGAACAGGAAACTCTTAGATTGAATTTAAAAGCAGTAATTTTGAGACATAAAATTCTGCCTGGGCACTGGTGGCTCATGCCTGTTAATTCTAGCTATTCAGTAGGCTGAGATCTGAAGATTACTGTTCAACGCCTCTGGACAGGATAGTCTGTGAAACTCTTATCTCCAGTTAACCACCAGAAAACTGGGAGTGGTGCTGTGGTTCAAAGTGGTAGAGTGCTAGCTTTGACCAAAAAAAAATAAAATAAAATACAAAAACCTCAGGGACAGTGCCAGGCCCTGAGTTCAATCCCCACAACCAACAAAAAAAAGAAAAAAGAAAAAAAGAAAATTCTGGTGAGGTACTAGTGGCTAACACTTGTAATTTTATCTACTCAGGAGGCTGAGATCTCAAGATCCTGGTTCAAAGCCAGTGGGACCAGGAAAGGCCATGAGATCATATCTCCAATAAACTATTCAGAAAAGGCCAGAAGTGGTACTGTGGCTCAATTGATAGAGCACTAGCTTTGAACAAAAGCAGTTCAGGAGCAGCATCCGGGCCCTGAGTTGAAGCCCTAGGACCAGCCAGAAAAAAAAGATGGAATGAAAATTCTGTATGAAAGATTAGCTATGATAGTTGACACCTGTAATCCCAACTATGTGGAGTGTGAGGATATAGAGGATTAAGGTTTGAGAGCAGCATTGGCTAATAATGAACCAGACTCCCAACTCAGCAAATAAGCCTGGAAGTGATGGTGTGTCACAGTAATCCCTGCTACATGGGAGATACAGGTAGGAGGATCAAGGTCTGAGTATAGCCTAGGCAAGAATATAAGACCCTATCTGAAAAATAACTAAAGAAAGGACTAAAGGTATTGCTCAAGTAGTACTGTGTGTGTGTGTGTGTGTGTGTGTGTGTGTGTGTGTGTTCTATGGAGTATGAAGGAATACTGCCTTTTCAGGTAGTAAATGTGCTAAGTACCAAACATAATCCATAATGCTGCACATGCCTAGAGTTGTCAAAAATGATCATTATTAGTGTAGCCTTAGATATAAAATCGTTTCTAAGCCGGGTGCTGGTGGCTCAAGCCTGTAATCCTAGCTAGCTACTCTGGAGGCTGAGATCTAAGGATCAGGGTTCAAAGCCAACCCAGGCAAGGAAAGTCCACGAGACTCTTATCTCCAGTTAAACACCAGAAAACCTGAGCAGGAAAGACCATGAGATCTTATCTCCAGTAAACTATTCAGAAAAAGCCAGAAGTGGTGCTGTGGCTCAAGTGGTAGAGCACTCGCTTTGAGCTGAAGAGCTCAGGGTCAGCGCCCAGGCCCAGAGGTTAAGCCCCATGACTGCAAAAAAAACAAAAAACTGTTTCTAGAAAAATCTATTTATTTTGCTGTTTTAAAATATAAGTACTCTAGTATTTTTGGTTGCTTTTCCTTGTGTTGGCACTAGAGCTCGAACTCGAGGTCTTTTGCTTTTGCTCAGTTTTTTTCACTCATGGCTGGTACTTTCCCACTTGAGCCATACCTCCATTCTGGCTTTTTGCTGATTAACTGGAAATGAGTCTCAAGGAGTTCTGGGAATGTGCTTTAGTGGTAGAGAACTTGCCTATCATGCATGAAGCCCTGGGTTCAATTCCGGTACCACAAAAACAGAAAAGGCCAGGAGTGACTCTATGGCTAAAGTGATAGAGTGGTAGCCTTGTGCAAAAGAAGCTCAGGGACAATGCCCAGGCCTAGGGCTCAAGCCCCAGGACTGGTAAAAAAGAAAAAGTCTCTAGGACTTTGTACCTTAGCTGGCTTCAATTCAGATCTCAGCCTCCTGAGTAGGTGTGAGACACTGTTGCCTGGTTGTTTACTTTAGGTTTTAGCAAAGACTATTTTTTTTTAGGTAAAAACTAAATCATGAAAAAGACAGACACTTAAAAGGCAATTGAGGACTGTTAAGAGTTGATGCACAGGCTGGGAAGATAGCTCAGCGGTAGAGTGCATGCCTTGCAAGCATGAGGCCCTGGGTTCAATTCCTCAGCACCACATAAACAGAAAAAGCCGGAAGTGGCGCTGTGGCTCCAGTGGTATAGCGCTAGCCTTGAGCTGAAGAGCTGAGGGACAGCACCCAGACCCAGAGTTCAGGCCCCATGACCGGCAAAAAAAAAAAAAAAAAAATCAAAATCAAGAGTTGATGCACAAATCACTTTATTTTCTGAAAAAGGTTCTAGAACCAATAGTTTGTTCACTGGGGTGTAGGAGTAATGGGCCGAGCCTTTTTGGGTGCACATATAGCCTAAAATCGAAGCTGGCAGTGCCTTGAGTCTCTGGTCCTTACTGCAAGAGGTACACTAAGTCATAACAGTAGTACACTGAGTTCCATATTTTCTGTGGGAGAAGTTGCTTCAGGTGGTGTTTGTATTTCTCTCCGTAAATATTTCTGACTTGTCTTTTACAGATGTCCTCCAGGGATAAAGGCTTTTGAGATAATGTTATCAGGGTTTCCTTTAAGAGCTGGAATTCTGGCAGGGTGATTCCTGTAGGCAAAACTCCTTGCTTATTGGTCAGTCTTAGCGGGTAGGTGCGACCCAGTAGCCTGGTAAGAAGTGTCATGTCTCTGAGGTTGGCACTGCGCTGAAGGTACACGTAAACTGGGGACTCCCCATTCCTTGTTAAAATGTTCACGTTCGCCTCAAATTCCAGCAAGAGGTTGATGATTGCCTCTCTGCCCCCAAAACACGCCTGGTGGAGAGCTGTTTTCCCTTCATGGTCCTGGACATTGACATTGGCTCCGTGTGTCAACAGCAGGCGGATGCAGCCTACCCCCGCTGCCAGCAGCTGGCCTGCTTTGCTTGATGCGGTACGCACAGCCAGCTTCAGGGCCGTGTTCCCTGTGGAAGGGACAGCACAGTTCACATTGGCACCGCACACAATGAGCGTTTCTATCATGTCCTTATTCAGTATTTCTGCCGCCATGTGCAGGGGTGTCATGCTAGATTCATTTGTAGCGTTGACCTGGGCACCACTTTGGGCCAAAATGGAGAGGATGGGGTAGGTCCCATATGTGATGGCCAGGTGAAGGGGTGAGTCTTTGTTGTCGTTGTCTACCCGGGCATTGACTTGAGCTCCGTGCTCGCACAAAATGCGGAGGCATTTGACAGCATTGTTCTGGATGTCTGTGAGGATCCTGTGGACACGGAGGCATGGCTTTGCCCACGTGATGGAGGTGACCGGCCAGTGCAGCAGCATCAGGTGAAGCGTCGTGAGGCCCGCTGCCCTGCAAGGCATTGCACACACATTACCCTGTGCCCATGCAACAGCTCTGCGTGAGGAATTAGTGCTCACCCAGCAGCAGTTACTACTTTAAAGAAGTGTTTTGAAATAATGTGCTAGGTAACTTCTCAGGATGTCACAGGTTTGGGGGAGCACTGCCTGGTGCAACCCTGTTTTTAGAGAAATCTGAGCTTTGAGCCCACCCATTCTAGGTCTGTGCTCCCTTCACCCCCTTACAACGAACTTCGCTGTTTCTGTATTCCCAGCACCTGGTCCAGTACTGGACTGTGTTACTGGGCATCAGTCCAATTGTGCAGATTCAGGCATGAGTTAATAGAAGTGATGAGGGCTGAGAATGTGGCCTAGTGGTAGAGTGCTTGCCTAGCGTGCATGAAACCCTGGGTTCTATTCCTCAGTACCACATAATCATATAAGGCCAGAAGTGGCTCAAGTAGTAGAGTGCTAGCCTTCAACAAAAGCAGCTCAGGGACGGTGCCCAGGCCCTGAATTCAAGCCCGGCAAAATAAAAAAAAAGAAAAGATGAGTTAATAGAAGTGAGCCCTATTCCCCCAGACTCTATTCCCTCCATCCAGTGGACCCCTGCCTGTCCTGCAATGAACTTTTCTGTGCTCACCCTTAGCCCTCAAGAGGTCTGCCATGGACCATCCAGCCGCTACTCTTCCATAGTCACGAGTTTGAGTTTATGTGTACTTGTTGTGTGAGGCTTAGGGGTGCTGGAGGGCCCTGCTTCTGCTGGGTGTCCAGCCTGGTATGGGAGACAGAGCAGGATCTCAGCGAAACTCGATAGAGATGGGGAGTGGGGGCCTTTGGTCAGGTTTGGAGGAAAGAGAAGGGTGCCCTGAGGAATTCCAGAGGGGCTGGGCCAGGGCTTCAAGATCACTTGCAAAGCTGTGGCTGCAGGCCGTGCAGGGGGAGGCTGAGAGCAAGGCAGCCCATGTGGGCGGGATTTCCTCCCAGAACTTGTATTATTATTATTTATTTATTAAAAAAATTTTTTTTGCCAGTCCTGGGGCTTCATTTCAGGGCCTGGGCACTGTCCCTGTGCTGTCTTTGCTGAAGGCTAGCATTGTACCACTTGAGCCACAGCACCACTTCTGGCCTTTTCTGTTTATGTGGTACTGAGCAATCCAACCCAGGGTTTCGTGCATGCTAGGCAAGCACTCTACCACTAAGCCACATTTTATACTCTATATGAACCATATTCATTGATTGGGCATTTGGCACTAGGCCTTTGGTTTAAGTGTTGGTGATAGGGTGGTCAGCAAGACAAACTTCTTTCCTGAAACTTACTTTCTATTACAGGGTAATAAATAAGAAAACCCATTGTATATTTGTTTATTCTTAGTTTTCATATTTAGATTGTTAAATTATGGAGGACCAAGGCCAGAACTTGGTGTATTTTCTACAGGAAGAGTTGCTGCTTAATCCTCAGTATGCATATCCTGTCTGACAGGCCAGGGAAGAGGTGGGCGTCTTCACTACAGCAATCCTTTGTATAGAATCTTTTGTCCATAACCCAAGGAAGATGAGCAATAACCTCACTTAGAGTATCATTAGCTTACCTTATTTCTGGGTCAGCCCCGTGTTTTAACAAGCAAAGCAAACTCTGGGGCTTGTGGTATTCGGTGGCCAGATGGATGGGGATGATGGACTGTGTCTGCTGCAGGGAAAGCATAGTGCGTTACAGGGGAGGTTGATGGATTCCACAGCACTTGCACCTGCACTTGTAGCTTGCCTCCCCAAAGAAGCCAGGTGCCTCAGGACCACAATGATAGTATTCCTTTAGTATGTGTGGTGCCTGTTTTTTTTTTTTTTTTCTTTTCCCAATAGAGTTTTAGGATTCTTTTAATTTGTAGTAGAGATACAGCAGCCCAGCCCACCCCCACAATTATGCTGTTTCCTGTCCCTACTCTTCCCTTGTTTAAAGCTTACATGGTTAGATCAGGCCTCAGGATGAAGCATGGGGCTTGAGCACCTGCCTACATGTATGAGGCCCTGCATCTGATCCCTAGCATTGCACAAAAAGACTGAAATCAGTGATTTAAAACGTGCTTATTTAAAAAGAACTTTATTGTCTCACATGTTAACTTCTATTTGTAACTAGATGGCCGTATAGTTTAGTTTTTTTTTGGGGGGGGGTCTGGTCGTGGGGCCTGAACTCTCGGCCTGGGTGCTGTCCCTCAGCTCTTCAGCTCAAAGCTAGCGCTCTACCACTTGAGCCACAGCGCCACTTCCAGCTTTTTTCTTTTTTCTTATATGGTGCTGAGGAATCGAACCCAGGGCCTCAGGCATGCAAGGCAAGCGCTCTACCACTGAGCCACCTTCCCAGCCCTGGCCGTATAGTTTAGTGGCAGTGCTTGCTTAACACATGAGAGGCCCTGGGTTCAGTCTCCAGCACCAAAAAGCCGTAGCAGCCTGAACTAAAGATAAACCACAGGGTTCTTCAACAAAGCCACTTTTTTTTTCTTTTTTTTGGGTCCAGTCGTGGGGCCTGAACTCTGGGCCTGGGCGCTGTCCCTCAGCTCTTCAGCTCAAGGCTAGCGCTCTACCACTTGAGCCATAGTGCTACTTCCGGCTTTTTTCTTTTTGCTTATGTGGTGCTGGGGAATCGAACCCAGGGCCTCAGGCATGCAAGGCAAGCGCTCTACCACTGAGCCACCTTTCCTCCCCAGGTTATAAAATGACTAAGTCAGCCCTAAACCTGGCAGATTATCTGTCTTCCCTTGAGATATCATTGAGGTTCAGGCAGTTCAGTAGTTTAAAAAGGTCTCAGCTCTGACACGTCTTAGGAGAAAGGCACAGGCAATGATCACTGAACCAAGACCTGTGTGCGCTTGACACAGGTGACGGAAGTGACACCTCAGCAGCCTCTGAGCAGTGATATTATGAAACCACATGTGTAATGCAAACCAGCTGGGATGCATTTTTTCCTGTTTCCCGTAACTTGATACCCAGTGAACTTCAGTTTTTTTCTCTCTCTTTCCCTCTCTCCCTCTCTCCTCTCTCTCCCCTCTCCCCTCTCCCCTCTCTCCCCCCCACCCCTCTCTCATCCTAGGGGGTGCTAGGTGCTGTTCCTGACCTTTTTTTGCTGAAGGCTAGTGCTCTACCACTTGGGCTATAGGTCATCTTCACTTCTAGCTTTTTGAGGTTAATTGGAAAGAAGAGTCTTATGGACTTACCAGCCTGGGCTGGTTTAGAACTATGTTCTTCAGATCTCAGCTTCTTCCTGTGTAGCAAAGATAGCCACTGGTGCCTGGCTCAAAGAATTATTTTTTGCTTGCCTATATTTTTGGGTGGTACTGGTAGCCAAACTTAATGTCCCATATTTGTTACACCTCTGGTCCTTAGAATCTGTGTTTTTTTAGGTTTTTTTTTTTTTTTTTTTGTCGGTCGTGGGCTTGAACTCTGGGCCTGAGCGCTGTCCCTCAGCTCTTCAGCTCAAGGCAGCTCTCTATCACTTGAGCTACAGTGCCACTTCCAGTTTTCTGGTGGTTTATTAGAGATAGGAGTTTCACGAGTAGCTAGGATTATAGGCGTGAGCCACCAGCACCCGGCTAGTTCTTTTTTTTTTTTTTAATTTAATTAATTTATTTTTTTGTCGGTCATGGGGCTTGAACTCTGGGCCTGAACTCTGTCCCTCATAATTAATTTATTTTTTTGTTGGTCATGGGGCTTGAACTCTGGGCCTGAACTCTGTCCCTCAGCTCTTCAGCTCAAGGTGAGCACTCTACCACTTAAGCCACAGCGCCACTTCCAGTTTTCTGGTGGTTTATTGGAGATAAGAGTCTCACAGACTTTCCTACCTGGGCTGGCTTTGAAACACGATCCTCAGATCTCAGCCTCCTGAGTAGCTAGGATTACAGGAGTGAGCCACTGATGCCCTGCTTTAGAATCTTTTATAAAATGGTTTACAAAACTTCACCAAGGAAACACTTGAAGCTTTCAATTATTGATTCCTAGCAGGATCTCAAAATGGAAAATGAATGGTAATTACTATGAGATTGCTTAGTCTTTAAATTAACTGATAGAGTAACAAGACAAATTGTTAGATTTTTAAGGATTTGCTAAGATCATATTTTCAGCAGCATTTTTTTTTGGCCAGTCATGGGCCTTGAACTCTGGGCCTGGGTGCTGCCCCTCAGCTCTTCAGCTCAAGGCTAGCGCTCTACCACTTGAGCTACAGCACCACTTCTGGCTTTTTTCTGCTTATGTGGTGCTGAGGAATCGAACCCAGGGCCTCATGCATACAAGGCAAGCATGCTACCACTGAGTCACCTTCCCAGCCCTTCAGCAGCATTTTCAGGGTTTTAAAGATAGTGCAACATATGTTCTGTCTGCGATTAGCATAACTGTTTATGCCAGCTCTTAAAATATCTTCTTTTTTGTTGTTGTTGTCTTTAGGTCGGTCATGTGGCTTGAATTCTAGGTCTGGGCTCTTCTGTCCCTCAGCTCTTCAGGTCAAGGCTAGTGCTCTACACTTGAGCTACAGCACCAGTTCCAGTTTTCTGATAGTTTATTATAGATAAGAGTCTCACGGACTTTCCTGCCTGGGCTGGCTTTGAACCATGATCCTCAGATCTCAGCCTCCTGAGTAGCTAGGATTACAGGTGTGAGCCACTGGCTCCTGGCAAAATATATTCTTAAAAAATATATTTAAGTAGTGGGTTTACCTTGTGACTGCAAAATAAGGGGGCAAAGAGTGGTGCAAAAAACAAAGGTAGCTTCCTTTTTGAAAAAAAAAGTAATTATAAAGGCAATGATCATCATACAAAAACTTAGGAATGAACAAGCATATATATAAAACATATATATATATATGTATATATATATATATACATGTAGCATAGATATATGTATATGCTTGCTTGTTCAAATGCATATTTTTTTGTTGGTTGTGGGCTTGAACTGAGGGCTTGGGCACTGTCCCTGAGCTCTTTTGCTCAAGGCTAGAGCTCTACTATTTTAAGCCATGTCACCACTTCCAGTTTGTGGTGGTTAATTGGAGATAAGAGTCTCATTGACATTCCTGCCTGGGCTGGCTTTGAACCATATTCCTCAGATCTCAGCCTCCCTGAGTAGCTGGGATTCAGGTATGAGCCACCAGTGCCTGGCCTGAGCAAGTATATATATATTTTTTTGTCGGTCATGGGGCTTGAACTCTGGTCCTGGGCCCTATCCCTCAGCTCTTTAGCTCAAGGCTAGTGCTCTACCGCTAAGCACTACTTCTGGTTTTTTTTCTGCTTATGTGGTGCTGAGGAATTGAACTCAGGGCCTCATGTATGCAAGCCAAGCGCTCTACTACTGAGCCACCTTCCTAGCCCCATACAAGTACATTCTTTAACCCAACCAGCTATGGTCTTTTCTTTCCTCCATTTGGGTGTGGTTAATGGAAGCAGGTCTTGTAGACCTAGCTTTCCACAGCTGGGCTGGCAAGCCATGGGCATGAGGAAACAAGTGACTGGCTGCAGAGGTCACTGCATTAGGTCATGCTCTGCACTGGGCTTCAGTTTTCCTAAAAGCAGACAGGCAGGAGAGTACCTGGCTCAGAAGCAGTCTGTAGCTGGTGGAGTTGGACAGAATGGTCAGTGGCTGGTTGACTGGGTGGTGCCTGAGGAGTGCCATGATGGTAGGGCAGTCTTCTTTGATTATGGCTTCATAGAGTTTGGTGTGCAGAGCAATGACTGGGTTATCCTCCAGCGACTTGGCCCTGTCCACCACCAGGCTTCTGCTCCCCCTCTTGGTTATATTTCCCATGAGAAAATCTGAGTAGCATGGACTTAGGAGAAAAGCAGGGAGACTCTTAAGAAATTGGTCTCTTCCGGTTTCTATGATGATCCTTTGGGCTCAGTTCTAGAACAGTTCTAGAATTGTTGACAATTGAACTCATCAACATAGCTCTTCTTTTGTTTTGTTTTGTGCTGGTCCCTGGGCTTAAATTCAGGGTTTGGGCCCTGTCCCTGAGCTTTTGTGCTCAAGGCTGGAGCTCTACTACTTGAGCCACAGCTCCACTTCCAGAGATAAGAGTCTCATGCACTTTCCTGCCTGGACTGGCTTTGAACCACGATCCTCAGTTTTCAGCCTCCTGAGTAGGTAGGATTACAGGTATGAGCTACTGGTGCCCAGCTCATAGCTCATATTTATTTATTTATTTGTTTATTTATTTATTGGGTCCGGTCGTGGGGCCTGAACTCTGGGTCTGGGCGCTGTCCCTCAGCTCTTCAGCTCAAGGCTAGCGCTCTACCACTTGAGCCATATCACCACTTCCAGCTTTTTTCTTTTTGCTTATGTGGTGCTGAAGAATCGAACCCAGGGCCTCATGCATGCAAGGCAAGTGCTCTACCACTGAGCCACCTTCCCAGCCCCATCATAGCTCATTTTTATATTGGAGCCAAACAATTTCAGACTTGGTCCCTTGATGGCACAATGCCAACATCAGCAGTATTTAGGCTTAAGAAAGCCTAAATAAAAAAACGGACTCATTTCACACCTAAGAATGTTAATTTTTCTTTCAAAATGAACTATTATTCAAGCAACTAACAGAACTGACTAAATAAAAATTACTACATTAGGGGCTGGGAAGGTGGCTCAGTGGTAGAGCGTTTGCCTCACATGCATGAGACCCTGGGTTCAATTCCTCAGCACCACATAAATAGAAAAAGCCAGAAGTGACGCTGTGGCTCAACTGGTAGAGTGCTAGCCTTGAGCTGAAGAGCTCAGAGACAGCATCCAGGCCCAGAGTTCAGGCCCCATGACTGACAACCCCCTCCCCCCCCAAAATACTACATTACACTTAAAAGCAACTTTTTTTTTTTTGTTGTTGGTTGAGGGGCTTGAACTCTGGGCCTGGGCGCTGTCCCTCAGCTCTTCAGCTCAAGGGGAGCGCTCTACCACTTGAGCTACAGCGCCACTTCCGGTTTTCTGGTGGTTTATTGGAGATAGGAGTCTCACGGTCTCTCCTGC